CCCTGTCTCTCTGTAATCAATAATGGGAAAAAAAGAACATTGGCCTTCAAAAAAAAATTATTAAACACCTAAAGTCACAAACCCTACCTTCCTGGCACATACAGTCTAGAGGAGGAGACATAGGATAGTAAACTAACGAAAAGATGAAGTGTCTGGTGTATTTCATGTTGGATGTTGGTTTGCACTCTGGAGAAAACGGATGCAGGGGAGAGAGAGGGGGGCAGCAGTGGGGGGAGGGCCGGCCTCTCTGTGAGTGTCAGTGAGGCCTAAAGAGCTGTCCCCATCATAGGACACTTGTTCTGTCCGTAGATACAGGAAGCCTCTATCCTTTGAGATTTCTGAAGTCAGCATGAGCTTTACACTGTCCAGCTAGGTTCCTGGTTCCCAGCAGCTGGTTACAAACAAAAACGTACATGACAGGTGCTGTGGGGAGGGAGGCTCAGACTGGGGCCGAGCTGTGCAGCCTCTGGGGTTGCCCATATTGAGAAGGATGTGGGTGGGCACAGACCTGGAGATGGTTCTTGTGCAGGTGATCCTAACGCTGTGTATGCCAGTCCAGCAGGCACAGAAGTACACGGCCTCATCTTCTTTTTCTAAGAAATTTATTGTCAAGGTAGAAGTTGAAGTTTGTGTATATTTACTTGCCTTAAATTTGCTGTTCTTCCCACAGACAGTGGCTGTGGAGGATACATACATTAAATGTTCCATACTCTGATCTGGTTTCTGCCGGTACCAGTGAATGTAATCACTGCTAAAGGTGCCAGAGGACACCTTACAAGGTATCTGGGCACTCTTATAGACTGCCCTGGAAATAGATATTTCAGGCTGCTCCAACTTTAACTGCCCAAGGCCAACTGCAAGCAAAAATAAAAACAAATTCCATGAACAAATGTCAGGTAAAGAGGTAACAGTAAAGAATTTCTTGGGTCTGTCTGGTAGACTGAAATGATGGGGACAACTCACAGGCCCAGAGGGAGAGGAAGATGACAGCTTCCAGTGGTGGCATCCTGAGCACCAAGCAGCTCCCAGGGAGAAGGGAAGACACTGAGGTCCCTGTTTGCAGACCAGGGGCAGGGGCGGGGCTGGTTCTGGTTTCTCAGAAGAAGTGGTGGCTCAGATGCTCCCTGGGGTTCTTCATGAGCTGCTACAGACATGACCAGTTCTGGGGCTCCCTGTGCCCCATAAGAGCTGGGAAAACTGGGTAAGAGGGTCCATGATCTGGAAAGAAAATTTTTTGTGAAAAACGTGTCAGTCACGGGGTTGGTCAGGGATGGTTCTCATAGCACTCAATGCTCCCCATGAACTACCATGTCATGGAAACATTGCTTCAAAAATATGAAGACTCACCTGCTATGTTCAGCCCCTCCCTAAACCCATCTTCCTGCGATGTGCTGTTGATTCAGGACTTGGGTATGAAACCTGACCTTTATTTTTCTGTTATAGACCAACATAGAAATCAGACACTGAAACACCTCATCAACATTATTTAAGATACCATATGCCAAAGCATGGAAGTACTTTTGTGCTTTTATAAATCAAATGAGGTGTCAGCACACAGATTATGACTCAGGACACCCAAATTTCATTTATAATCTGGGTGCCTCCCAGAAGGGACTGGACTGCAGTTGCTGGCTGATATGGGAGACAGAGCAATTTGTCGAACTCAGCTTCTCATTTTTGGAACTTGGAGCTGCTTCCT